ATGATGTTGACAGGATTTCCAAAAGTTAAGCTTTGTTGTTGCAGTTTAGTTATTACTTCTCGCGCAGATGTTGTTTTTGTTGGATAGAGCCAGCTAAATTTTGTGAACGCGTCGATGACAGCAAAAATATGATTATACATCTTACTTGTTGACTCTAACGGTCCTAAATGATCGATGTGATACGTTTGCAGTGGTATATCGCCTTTTGGTATTGTGTGTAATTCCCCTTCTTGTTTACCTTTTTTCCTATTTGTTATTATACAGGCAATGCAATTTGATATGTGTTTATGGATCTTCTCTTCTAACTTTGGAATGAAATAATCTCTTGATAACAGCTCTTTTGTTTTCCTCACAGAAAAATGACCTCTTTCATGGGCGCTCCTAATTATTTCATTTTGCATTCCTTTCGGTACAACAATTAATTCACAATCATTTACAAGCTTGTATAAAACATCACCTTTTATGAAGTATCCATCGTAGTCCGTTTGATCATTAAGAATATGCCGTATTGCTTTCAGGTCGTTATCTTGATGCTGTAGATGTTTTATTCTCGCCGTCAAACTATCTTCACCAATGAACATCACAGGGTGTCGGCTTAAGGCATCCACATGTCGCATTTGAGTGCCAGGTCGATGTTCAACATAATAATCGTACTCTTGAAGGAACATTATCCAGCGGGCTACTCTTGTTGGTACGTCTTTCTTCTCAATTGTTTTGGTGAATGCGTTACAGTCCGTTACCAATTTAAACCGTAATCCAATTAAATACACACGAAATTTTCTTAATGCCTCCACAATCGCCAAAACCTCTAGTTCGTAGCTCGAATATTTCCTCTCCTGCTCAGTCGTTTTCCTACTCATATAATACACGGGGTGCAACAAACCATCGTCAGGCAACTTCTGCAGCAAAACAGCTCCATAACCGTCGATTGATGCATCCGTATGAAGTTCTGTCTGGTACTTTTGGTTAAATATATTCAGGACTGGTTGATTCGCCATCATTTCTTTTAATTTATTAAAAGACTTCATTTGTTCTGCGCCAAAATAAAAAGGTGTTTTACTAGACTTCAAATCAGATAACGGTTTCGATATTACTGAAAACTGTGGAATAAATTTTCTAAAGTACCCTGCGAGTCCCAAAAAGCTTTCGACGTCTTTTAAGTTCTTAGGTGTTGGATATTTTATCATCGCCTCTGTTTTGTCTGGTGACGGATAAATTTTTTTATTCTCAATTACATGGCCAAGAAATTGTATACGCTTCTTTAGGAAACGACACTTTTTCAAATTTATTTCTAGTCCATATTCCTTGCACGTTTCCAAAACTCGCTCCAAATTTCTTAACGCTTCATTTTCGTCTCTAGCTGGAATAATAATATCGTCGACGTAGGGTAGCGCAACACCTTCTCTGTTTAAGCTCCTAAAAATCGCGTTAACATGTCGCTGGAAAACTGCTGGTGAATTTGTAAGTCCAAATGGTACCTTCTTAAACTGGTATTGACCATTGTGTGTTACGAACGATGTGTATTTCCGACTTTCATCATTTACAGGCACGTGAAAAAAACCATTTCGCAAATCAATTGTGCTGAATACCGTCGCATCTTGTAATCGATCAAGTTGATCCTCAATTAAAGGTAATGGAAAATGGTCCTTTACGATTACCTTATTTATTTTCCTGTAATCTATACACAATCTATGAGTTCCATCACGTTTCCTCGTCAATACTACTGGACTACAAAATTCTGAGTTCGACACTTCGATTATGTCTTCTGCGAGCCATTTTTCAATTTGGTCTTCGACAATATATCTCTCAGTTAAAGGAAGTCGTCTTGGGTTGCAGAATATAGGATCTTCCTGGTTTAATGTAATCCTCATTTCCACGTTCGTTCCTTTTGTCTTTTCCGGTCGGTAGTTGTTGATCATATCAATAACTTTTCCTTTAGCGTAATCACTTGCCGTTTCTCCGATATCAATTTCCGTGTTCTTTTCGTTGTTCCAAATATCCAATGCCATCATGCCATAAACTTCTTCAGATTGTTCATCTCTTAATTTCCTAAACTGAACTTTTTCTGGGGTAATGGTTATTTCAGCGTACGAGCAAAATTCTTTTCCAATAATAACATTTACATCTATGCACGTTGCTGGTACAACTTGAAAACATAACGCATATTTCTCACCATCAATTTCGACTTCATGTTCAAAAGATCCCATTGGCTTGATTCTGTTTTTTCCAAATCCGACAAGATAAAAGTTTGTTTTTGTAAGCTGAGGCCTATCCAGGACTTTGTAGACATTTTCAGTCACGATGTTAAACTTACTTCCAGTATCGAATAAGGCTGACCATTTCTTATTTCCAAACTTAATTTCTATTTTCATATCTGTGTCTGAATTTATTCGTCGAACGTCTACGTTTTGTTTTGATGGGCAATCTTTCGAAATATGTCCGTAATTGTTGCAATTGAAGCACTTCATACCTTTCTTAGCACTTCGGCATTTTTTGGATGCATGACCCTTACCGCCACAATTAAAGCATATCATGTCAGGCTTTTCGTGTTTATTTGTCACTTTCGATTGGACTGGCTCGAAATATTCTTTTTTCACTGTTGACATCTGCATCATTTGGTAAGATCGAAGTTTCTTCTTAAACTCATTTAAATTGTCTGCTCCAAAAAGAATGGTTTTGTTGACTGTTGAATCTTTAATGCCTTCTATTACGTACTGCATGAGCGCCTTGTTTTCAATAGAACCTCTTGATGCTATCTCTCTCATGTGAAGAAAATACTCTTCAACGCTCTCATTTTTTGACATTTTCCTTTCCATCAACATTTTATGAAGTTGGCAACTATTTACCACGGTATCAAATTCGTCTAACAAAGCCTTCTTTAATTGTTGATATGATGTTATGCCTCTCTCAGTTGATATGAACAGTTTTGCTAAGCCCTTCAAAGAACGTTTTGCAAAAATAAACATTTGAAATTGATCCCAACACATAACTCTGGCATTCTCCTCAAATTCCTCCAACCACGAGCGAATTGACAAATTCTTACTTCCATCAAAATTTCTTATTGTGTCTTCTATGTCTCTGAAATTCATTGCAAATTTTGGCACATGGTGAGTTTCGCTGTACCGTGACTGCATACATGTAATATTCTCTTTATTGTTATCGTAGTCTTCACTATGCACATCATTCGTGGGATGCCGTTCTACATGTTGCTGTGTCTCTCCATCGTTGTTTTTGTTCTGCATGTGGATTCTGCTTTGCAAATTTTGACTAACGGTATTATTATTTCCACTCATTTCTAACTTGGAGTAGTTTCGTCTCGGTACAATTGTTAAATCATTGTCATTGGTCGATTCAGGTTCATCATCATAACACTCATCATCTTGTGTTTGACTCTCTGCGTCATCGTCGGCGTTGGCCTGACTCTCTGCGTCATTGTCTCCGTCGTTTGCTAGCAGCATGCCTTTCTTGAGATTTGAGAATATGTGAGCACATAAATCCTCCACGTCGTAACTCAAACATAATAGGTTGCAAATTGAGACTAGATCGGCTGTTGACAAGTTCTGTTTGATGTATTTGAGTTTCTCTTCATACTCAGCACTGTCCTCTGCATACTCAAAGCCTTCAAAAGAGCGTAATCGTCGTCGGTTTGATCGATCTCCTTCTTCACCAAAGATAAATTTATGCAGTGCCGTTGTTATTGTCCGTTTGGCCGTAGATAAATTGTTGCGTATGACAACAAAATCTCCTAGAGTAGGCATCGTTGTTGTTTTTTGTCTCGAACTTTTTGCAGGTGCGCTTTGTTCCTCTTTTGTGAGTCAAGGTTAAATCAAAGTTACCGTTTTTTGTATTTTACTTCGAACCGGATAGTACTGTTATTTTGAACATACAAACATATAAAAATAATTTGAGATTTTTTCTATGACATCAAACACAAATGTTGTTTCCGAACAAGTAACCTCTTCTCCAGAATATTGTTATAATAGTCTGTGGAGATTTTAAACATGAAAACAGTGATATTGTTTCACAATGACACAAGTTAAACGAACGGTTAACAAAACCTATACAGTTTTCACACGTTTGGTACTGTTCGACACAATAAACATTTTACGTAACACTCTGCACAAATGGAGTTGGCATTCTTATATAGTTTTCGCGTTAAATTTATCAAATTTATATTTTTATTTCTTAATCGCGGTTGAGTCCCCAAATTTATAGGGTTCCTTTTTAATAAAACACGATATTCTGTCTAGGGTTTATTAATATAATATTTAATAGCTCAAATTTATTAAAATGATAATGTAATTTAAACAATGAAAAGTTGAAATGAAATAAATATGAATATCGTCGTCGTTAATGCGAGCCGTCTTAAGAACGTCTTTACTCATCCGCGTCGTAAATGCAACTCATCTTGCTCACAGATTATTGATTGCTTCGTAGCTAAACTTCGTGACACTCTCTAAACTTCACTCAAACTTCTGTTCCCACATTGATGAACTGCCGAATTTGGTTTTCTCCGATGAGAAAACATTCGTTGTCCAGCAGTTTGTAAACAAAGAAAGCGCCGGCCATGGCGATGGTGTGGGCCGCCATAGCAGCCGATGGTCGCTCTTCCCCCTAGAATAAATGCCGGGTGTTTGTTGTAGTTTTTTATTTCACCTTGTATTATCTCTTATAGGGGTGATTTTTCCTATGATATTTTTGGCAACACTGAGTTAAACAGCTTACGCACGTTTCGTATTTTATTTCACTGTCAAATATATTCAGTTGGTCTATAATTTCATAACGAGAAATCTTACAAAGGAAGTCTTCTTGAGCAATTAAATATTGTAAATATAAAGTTTATTGCTAACTAATAAACTTAAGATGATTTACGATTTTTGTTCGGGGTTCTACTGAAATGTTATTTTAAATAATTTTTGATATTTTTTATTAGAATTCTTTGTTTTAAGTGTATGCAAATAATGTTTATCATTTATCACCTGTCATTTTTTCCATTACAGATAATGTTGACCATGAGGAAGCCAAATCATTGTTCGAAAAAAATTACAGCCATGTGTACTTCATTTTATACGACACATTTATTCAGGCGGAGGCGAATTTAAAACAAAAAGGTAAAGTATATTTAATAATTACTTTATTTAAAAAAAGCAAATGTCAAAAATTTGGTCCAATTAAAACAGTAAAAAAGGCTGAATTTGTTTTTCCTTTGAATATTGAAAATGTTCAAAAGTTTCTATACTCGAGGTGGTAAAAGATTAGTTCTTTATTCGTGATGAGCAGAAGAAGGCCATAGAATAGCTATTCGATAGCCATGCCTTGAGTCTCGGCTATTTGATCAGTTATACTCATGACAACTACCATGTGTTTCGGATGCATAAAATGTACTCAGTAATTGCTCCCACTTTGAAGGCCTGATCAGTTAAATTGGAGATGGAGATTAGGTCTCACAGCAATGCAGTATCTCTGTATCAACTTTAAACAGGACTATTGAAGGAATGCAGCCTTTCCCGGCATCCGTTACATCATTTTCAAACCGTTTAGTCTTGGGATCAACGATCTTCTTAGCCACTCAAAACATGTGTATCGGCAATAAATCGCCCTTAAGGGCTCAGACAACCTCATTATTTAGACGTTAAAAATATAGCCTGTGGTCTTAGCCTCAGGTATGGGTGTCCTATTAAACAAAAATTCCTTTATGTTCCTCTTACATATTTATTGGTGATCTAGAAAAATACAGAAGTTTTAGGTTGGGGTTAGGTTTTAGGTATTCCAAACAATCCTAGACCGGTAATGACTGATATACAATTTGTAGTAGGTTCTTTAAAACCCATTGGTTTTCTTCGGTCAACACCCGCTTCCTTGAGACATTTAGTCCATTGTGTTTATCGTAGGAAAAAGAATTTATAGATAGCATAAAGGAAAGACATCGATAGTATGTAAGGTTTGATGAGGCGTTTTTAGCAGGGTAGGTGATTTTAGTAAACTCATAGATGATAATGGAATCTACGCATCAGAAAATTAAAGAGTTTCTTTTTTCATATACTTTGTCTTCTGGTAGTAGGTGAGATATCTGATACAGCCTGTGGTCAGTCAATAAGATCAGTAATATGCGATCTACTAAGCGAGAGCTGGATGGTGCAGTGGTTTCAATTTGTATTGGGGTGAATTGATAAGCAGAAAGCAACACGCAGTATATATTACTGTTAAAACAACCACTAAGTGACATAAGATTATTTTCTTCTCGAGATTGCCGGATAGATACTCTTAGATAACGTGCATCCAGTTTCCACGTAATTCACATCGGAGAAGGCCTAACACCTAAAACTCGATAAGGTTGTTTTGCAGTCTCATCAATCGATTTCCCGTTGTTTATTAGTTTAGCAGAAAATCCGTCGAAAGTGTTTCTCTCCCCTAACTTCGAACCATCCGTGTAGCTGCAGTTTCCAGAGGTCATACTCGCTAGCATTCTGTTGATAAACGATTCTCTGTCCAGAATTGACATATTACCTATTAATGTTATGTTGTGTGATAGGGTATACCCAATCTGTATTTCAATTGTGGTGGAAAAAAAGAACTGTCTCTAAAGTTCTTGTTGATGTAAACCACATTTTCCCGCAGATGCTTAAGCAACACATTTATTGGACTTTTATATTTTAATACATTGATGTTCACCAGACCACAGTTGGGTATGTTAGAAAGGGTCTAAACACGCTTCTGTGAGGTCAGTGTATAATTTGGGCCTATTGTGCTTCCACAGATGAAGCGGCGTCTATCAGTGAGCTATGTTTCCTCTTTCATTGATGTGGTTTTTTGTCGATGAACAATTCTATAAATGTTATGTCAATGGGTGTTTATTAGAAGCTTAGGTATTCCTTCATATGCTCACACTTTATTACCTATATAATCCATCTTTCATTATCGCGAGTTGTATGATTTAAATAGAAACTTCTTCTCATGCACAAATTTGTGCTGTTGCGCTTAGCAGTTCTCGTTATTCTCTCTAATTTTGTTTTGCATTCAGTTAAAGTTTTATTTGGACCAAAAAAATTTAAAATGCCATTAGATTAAACGTGACAAAAAAAATTGTAAATAGCATCTTGAATATGCATATCTTTTGAAATACCTCTAAATCGATTTATTTTCAATATATCTCTTTCGTTAATATATTGTGTATTTTTTCTATTTATTTTTTTCGAATCCAAAACCAAAACACATCCTTCTTGCTATTGGTCTTTGTGCGTGTATGTGTGTTTGTGTGTTGCATAAACAAAACCAATATAAATCCTTTCGAATTGTAACGCAAATCCTAACCTCAAATTTTTGTTGTGTTGTTTTTAATGCAAATTATTTTGTCTTTCATATTAAAACCACAAACGAAAATACGCACTATCGCTACAACAAATACTTTTGAACAAAAACATTTTGAATTAAATCAAAAACAAAAATATTTAAAAAAACATTGCAGAACTTCCGTTCCATATTGGTAAGTTGCACTTGGTTTTTGCTTTCTTTTTTCCTATTTCACATTTAGAATTGATTATTTCAGCGTAGTACTATATGGAAGGTGGTAGGAAAAAATGTGTCCAATTTAAAAAAAAAAAAAAAAAATAAATAAAAAAAAAAATAATAAAAATAAAATTTTGCAACAGGAAAAATTTTATAAACTCTTATTAAAGGAGTTTGTAATATGAAGCGCTTTTTGTTTTGGATGTCGCACTACTACCTTCATATTCTACTATGTCACTAATAACCAATCAGTAAAGAAAACAGAAAAGCAAATTTTTATAGACTAGACAGTCATATCGAAAACATTTCTAGAAATTATTGCGATACTATGCCATTCATCGTTTGTTTTGTGCTTTTTGTTATTGTAATCATTGACTTTTTGTTGTCACCTATTCATTTTACATCTTCCTATATCAAAACTATGTTCCACAGCATCATATAAAATATAACAAAACCACATCATCCAAATTAAGAGACCAATCAAAATTTGCATGAATACCAATAAGATTATTTTGGTTTAATACTTGCAGAAAGTCTGCATTTCGGTTGTCATCATCGCTCATCAGCAACGTATTATTTAGTATAGTTTTTGAATTTGCGCTTAGTTTTGTAATATGTATGTTTGTTTGTAAAAGTCATCATTTTATATGTTTTCATAAAAATCACAAATTCTGAAAAAAATTTTAACTTTTTTACATTTTGTTTAGTTCACAAAGCCCATCGTGAAGAATTGGATGGTTCGCTATGGCTGCTGGAGAAGATACTTTGTTTGCTGCCCGAGTTGCTGGCTCGACGATGGCAGTGTCATTCTCTCAGTCGGATCATGGGCAAATTGTTACATTTGGGGAATTCGCCAAAGTTGCGGAAAGAAGGTGTACGGTAAGTTGCTCTAAATCCAAGTTTCATATCTGTAGGCTTTTGTTTTATTGACAATTCAAGTATTCACGTCACATTTTACAAAAGAAACAAAGAACATAAAAAATACATGTTGCCCACATGCATAAATAAGAATCTATTTCACCTATAAAGTCTTATTTAATTCAATTTGAAATTGTTAAAAATTTATTTGCAAATTACAGGGTGGGATAAAAAAACTGCAACAAAGTCAAACGCCATAATTTTTACAGTTTTTTTTTAAATTTTTGGAATGAAAGCAAAAAATGTCGGAAATGGCATCAAATTTTAGAATAAGTCTAGATTTGTTCGAATTGGTCACCTTTGGCACGAATTATGACCTTCAAACGGACAATGAAACCGTCACACGCTGCCCGAATGTTGCTCTGCGGTATTTTGGCACATTCCCGGCGAAGCGCTTGCCAGTGATCGACACTTTGGTATTTTTTAGTGCCAACCTTGCTTTCCAAAATACTCCATATACAAAAGTCCAACGGATTGGTATCCGGAGATTTTGGTGGCCATTGTGCGCTGAAAATGAAGCGAGGAACCTCAATTTACAACCATTCTTGGGTGGCGCGTGTTGAGTGCGATGGTGCTGAGTCTGTTGCCAAAATATTTAAGTGCCCAAGGCTTTAATACACCCTTTTCTGTTGCGGCGTAAGTTCTTGCACTTCTTGGAATTTCAATGGCTTTACTCCGAGCTCATATTTCAATATTTGCCGACTGGAATATTCCGAATGATTGGCTCACGAGTCATTTTTCGGCCGCTGTGACGCGGGTTTCTATCAAGTCGCTTCTTTAATTTTCGAACCATATCTGCTGATGTTGCTGTTTTCTTCCCTCCACTTCCTTGCCGTCGGGCTACGCTACCAGTATCATGGTAACGAGCGATGGTACGAGATACAAAAAAATTATTTTAACGATAGCCACTTGTAATTTTTCAGCCAAATATAAAGAAATTACACTATCACGCTTGAATTCCGCCACGATTAACTTCTTTTCTGGAAAATTCTCACCAAAATGTTTTTGTGTGCTTGTAAACAATATAATGAGCTGTCACTGGAATAATTTTAACAGCTGTCGGACGAGTGGCTTAGAAATGATAGCAGTCTGAAGTTGGTTGCAGTTTTTTCATCTCACCTTGTATATATTTGTAAATTATGGGTAATGAGATAGCTTATGAACCAGTATGGCGGGGCTCTCCTCTGAGTTAAGTAAAGATTATTGTTGAGTATTTATTTACACTGTAACTATTGAAAACTCCGTAAGTTCCGCTGAAAAAAATAGATATGGCGCGAGGAGCCCAAGAGAAAGTTGTTAAGGATAATCTGGCAGGTACTTTCAACTGGAAGAATTCTACTATAGAACTATTACCCCTTAGAAAAGCCAATATTAAAACGATCATCGGCCACTGCCTTATAAGGTCCATGAGTAAGACATGGGTAGAAGATATTGGCATCTGTGTTTTCTAGACTGAAATCGTTGAAATGGAAAAATACCATACATCTGATAGCTAATACAATTCATGAAATTGATGGCCCGGTTACAATAAAATCAAAACTATTGCGAGTTTGAAATAAAGAAATGTTTTGGATATGAAAAAACCATCATGCTTTGTTGGTAATTTCCCGCGAATGATTGTGAATTGCACTATTCTCTTCAAAACGGGCATGATCCCTACTCTCCTTAAAGACACCTGATCTTAAATAATTGGGCATAATCAACTCTCAACCTTTTGACCTCGACCTATCAAAATTAAACGACAGTGGTTCTTATGATTCAACGATTTCACTGGTTCATTTTCTTGAGTTCTAATGAAGTCATAAAATATCCGATATCTTCTTTAACACTTGGGGTTATTCCTTGTGATGATCATTTAATTATATAAAAAACGAAACATTTTGAAATGGGCTGCAATTTGTCCTGCGTTGGATATAGCCCCAATGTATAATTTTACTGAATGCGTAATATTTCACCAAATAAAATTAATATCTTGGAATTCAGTCTAGAAGAAAGTCTGTCGATTTAGGTAAAAAATCTTGAAAAATACCTGCAGATCATATTAAGTATCCCCAAATTGGAGTTGTTCTCAATTACTATACAGGTAAAAAATCCATGGTTAGGATCTAAAAAGGGTCTTGGGTCTTCCAGCCTCTTGTAAAAAGAACGATTGCAAGTATTAAAAAAGATTCCAACCCATATCACTTTTACCGATGATTTAGCAACATTATTGGCACCGAACATTCCATTTTCTCTAAATTTGTATATCATTTATCTATTTCAACTTCCCTTTTGAGGATGTTCAGAATAGGCTGGTCACTTTAAGAAGCAAACTAAAACCTCTGTAAATTTGCGGAGGAAATTTGCCAACACCATCGACTCTCCGGAGTATATACTACTGGGTGTGGTATAGACAACTGGGATTTTGTGATGTATAATCTTCTTTTGAATGTTAGAATCAAAATAGTCGTAGACTGTTTCTTTCTGCCTGGTTTCGAGACAGGTTTTTTGTTTAGAAATTAGACTGCCATAGAATATGTGTTAAATTGTAATAGTTAATTCTCATGACATGTAATTTTACGGTTAAGAACTAAAACATCAATGCTACAGATGTTCTACGATCTCGAAAAGTATTTTTTATTTGAATTTTAAGAAATTAATTCATTTTTATTTCTCATCACATTATATTCCTTTTTTCAGATATTTCCTCCTTTGGTATCAGGCATTGGGTGAAAATGCTCCCACCTATGTACATAATATGTATGCGGATTTAATACCGGGTCTCATTGTGCCCCAGAAAGGATTGCAGGGACCCGATGTGGAGTTCAGTCCAGGGGATTTTATAAATCATCCAAATATGAAAGTGGAGGGAGGCATAACCTCAGTTTTTCACGACAGTTATTCTCATCCGGTACAATGTTCAGAGCTTGTAGCTCTGTTGCCACCATCGTCAAGTGAGAAATCACAACCGCCCGATCCTCGCGATGGCTTGGAAATTCTACTCAATAGTATGGTACAGACAACAGCATGTCTGAAATGGAGTGAAAATCACGCACAAAAAGATCACAAGGCGTTTGCCTTTTTGCTGCAACGCTTCAAGGATGTTTTTCTACCAGTATTTAGTCCGAACTTTGATTTCACAATGTCTGTGTACGAACCGCGTTTGGAATTGCCAGTTATGCGTTCGATAAACAAAAAGGAGGAGGTCATGGCCTCGTGTGTGGTGGTACTGATCAATTGGTTGTCGCGATTTACCCACGAACGTTTGTTGCAGCATCGTTTAGACAGCGTTCATATAGCTGAGGCAGCCGATCATATGCGCCTGCATGCCTACCAGCAGGGGCTAATAGTTCGCGATGTCCTTTATTCGACACGAGAAAATGTTAACTTTATCCATGAAGTGTATCGGCAAGCGTTCTTACTGAACTTTACAACCAAAGCCCAAATTGATGCTATACGTTGTTCCATAGCTGTGTATCGAGATTGGATGACTGGAAATACACCTCCACCGTTTTTATTGGAACCAGAGGATTCCACGGGTACTGCTATGCAACAACAGCAACAACATAACAATCGAGAAAATGCCGGCGGCACTCCCAAGGCGAATATACGCATGAGGAATCCCTCGTATGTTGGTGCCATGGCTAAGGATAATGTCGGCGTGCGAGCTGGTCTGCAAAATATTCTTCAGATATTTGTAACAAATGCCGCGAATGTATTTTTGGTCAATACAAGTACTTTGAACATATATTTTCCCACAAAGTCCAGAGAGTTCAGTACCACTCCGCTGCAGGAACAAACCGAAGTTTGCAAAAAGGTCTTAAGTGTATATCGCACAATGGTTATGAACACCCCCATGGAGCCAAGGACTTGGGAGCAGTTATTGTTGGTATTGTTGCAGGTAACATCGGTAGTGCTGCAACAACATCCCCCGACAGCCGCAAAGAGTTCGAGTTTGGGAGGCATTCTCGGTCAAGCGATTTTCCAAACACTGATCGTGACGTGGATACGTGCCCACACTAATGTTCCTGTCAATGTCCAACTTTGGGAAAAGTTTCTTGTCGTTCTCACTTCGTTGACATATCGAGATGAATTGATTATTGAATGGGACAAAACCATTCAAACTCTAACCCGGGTATTTTCGCGTTATGTTTATTCTCTGAATTTACAAGATTTGCCTTTGGATAGATTGGCTGAGTCAAAGGGTAAGCGCAGGCGCATTGGTGTTTGGCAACAGACATCCTCAGTATCGAATGGTTCGGTACCTAAGGAAAGAGAAACGAAAGATTCCCAGCAACATGAGCGTGTCTCAAATGCCAGTCGATCTGAAGAAAATTCACAAGCAACCTTATTACCAAGCGGTCGGAACAGTGCGAATCTTAGCAATGTTCAGAAAGTCGGAAATAGCTCTCACCGCTATCCGGTTACGCCTATATTGAGTCGGAGTTACAGCGAAGGTAGTTTGGCTTCAATGGCTCGTACATCACGGATACGCCGAAAGGCCAGACATCCAAAATCACATCAACCAATTGTTGAGGCCCCTCCTAATTTACCTACCAGCGTGGAGCACTCTCTCAATACAATGGCACAGCAGAACTCAAATACACCTGAATTAATGCAGAATGTTGAATTAGCATGTCCTGTGACCATGATCAGCAATGATATGCGAAGAGCCATGTCTTTGGATTCGTTGGCCACATTAAAAAGGTCTCGAAAAACAAAGCGCCTTAGGCGGACCACAAACAACGAAGATGAAATCGATGATTTAGATGCTGGTGCTGGGGATGAAAGCAATGATGAGGATTCCCGTAGTCCCTCGCCCACTGCAAGTAGCGGCATAGAAGGTGGCTCGATTAAAGATGCTCAAATACAAATCGATGTGTTGGCCGTCGACAGTGGTGGTAGTTTGGGCGAAAGTGAAGGCAACTCCGGATCGTATCAAACGGAAAGAAGGTCGATTATTTTGGGGGGCACAGCTACGGGTTGGTTGCCTGACTCCACTGCGATTATGTGGAAACGTATGCTGGGAGCTCTAGGCGATGTCAATCGCATACCCAAGTCAGAACTGCATGCTCAAGTCTTCAAGCATTTACTTGATATGACCATCAACCTGATTAAAATCAAACACAACCAAGGTATATCAACGGACAATCAAACAACTCCACCGCCACCAACCTTGGTGCCACCGATTGGTATTGTGGCACCGTGGTGTTATGGTGCCCTCACATTGGACAAGTCATTCAAAAAGGGCAAATTGTGGTCTGTTCAATTGTTGTGTATGCTGGCAGTTAATGGTGCAGTGACAGGAATGCAGCATCTACCCCTGTTTTACTATGCCTTACACCGCCTGTTGACGGGAGAAGACCGGGAATTAATTTATGCTGTTCTCAAGTATTTGGAGGGTCCTCGCTTCCTCAGCTTGCTTATGCCAGGCCACACTTTGCTTTTACTAGACATTGTGCATGCCTCCGCTATTTTGTTGACCTCACTCGAGGCCAATCGCACAACACCTCGAGCAGAGGTTGCCGCTTTATTAGGAACTTTACTGTGTTATCCCTCAACTTTGTTGCCGAGGCCTTTATTGCAACCCACTCCGCAGCAATTCGAGCTAATGGAATGTGCCGATTTACAAGATCACATTTTAAATATTGTGCTACGCTGTGCGCGCAGAGAACCATCAGCTAAAGCTAGATGTATAGCTCTCTCCCAATTGGGACAATGGATTCTAATGAAACTATCTAATCCATTGTCATCATCTCAAGTTGATAGTCCCAAATTTCAGCAAGCTATACCCCATGCCAAGGGGCAACATATTAAAGATGGACAGCATCACAATCACCAATACAATCCTCGTATTAAAGAAGCTTTACAAGTGCTGCTGCAGGCACTACAGTTCAAGCACCGGACGATTGCAATGGTTGCCGTGGACTCTTTAAAGCTCTGCACGGAACGTGGTGCCGAATTGGCTTCTATTGAACGAATGCCCCAATTGATTATCACGGCCATTTGCAAAGCTTTGGAAATACAGAATGTCACGAATCCCAAGGATTCGGACAAAGTGGTGCTGACAGCTTTAATGTTGTGTCTCGGCGAGTATTGCATGGCATTCCCTCCGACCATAATGCTGGAATCTATCAATGAAAAGGGTGACACATTGGTTTTAATGGTTTTGAGAGTTCTGTTGCAAATCGCCTCTGGAGCTCCACGACATGAACGCGTCAAATTGACAGCAGATGATGATTTCGACATGCACATAACTGCCGATGATCTGAGCGATGATGGTAAATTACCCGAGGCTAACTACCAGACATCTGAAACTATACAAACGTGCATAACTGCCATTAGGCTGTGTGCCAAAGCGGTGGCGATGCATTTGGTAACCCACCTGGGTCATTTTCCCATGGGCATAGGTGCTGCACGCTTAAGTTCTTTGGTCGAAGAACAAGACGATCTGAATGGCTACAATGGATATGGTGGAGGTGGGACATCTCAATCGGCGGGTAACAATCAAAATTCTGTAAATAGTGTGGAATTGCGTCGTGATTCCGTGGAATTGCCTTCAATACTACATGCTCAAAATATGCAATTGTTTATGTTGAATCCTGGTTTGGTGGCCAGTTTCATAGAGCTGCCCACACTAAAATTACCAGGTGGTGGCGTGACCGCTGGTTTGGTAACGGCGGAGAAACAAGTTCGTGTATTGTTGCGTGATCTCAACGGTAAAGCTTGTTGGGATGCCTCAATATTGTACAGCGAGCCGAAACGTGATTGCTCTAAAGGTGGTGTGGCCGTGGGTGGTGAGGGATTGACATCTTCTCTCGATTCACGCATGGGATTTAGTCCTTCGCACATTCAACGTTTGAATCAAGTGCAGCCGATGGATTCGTTAATGCATTCTATGCAAGGTATAGACATAGGTCCACCGCGACACATGCTAAGGCACAGGCCATTGGGAGAGTTGCCGTTGGCAACAGATTTGGCGCCCGATCTGGATCAATTAGATGATGTGAGTAATAGCGAAAACTACGTAAACCTATAAATCTCGAAATTCATTTTTATTCTTTCAGCTCTTGTCTTATGTGGGACACACTAGTCCAGAATGTCTACCCTATCCAATGGCACAATTAAACGTTCCCGGTCCCAGCCCACTTGGCAGCAATGCTGAAGCACAAGCCATTTCTGTAATACTCAACCAAAGAGCAATGGAACAGGAATTTGTTTCAAATCTCAATATGCAAGCATTGCAACTGCCACCAGGCGGTGGATGTGGAGGCGGAAGTGCAACACCCTCGTTAGCCGGTACTGGACACGACACACGATCTTTGCATTCTATGCATGAGCCCATATCGCATAACTCTTTTGAATCGTACCACATGTCCAGCCTGAATGGTCGCAATGAAATACCATTCCAATATTGTCGTCTGCTCTTCTCTCATCTCGGTTTAGCCGGGTGGGAGAGAAGATCACGGACACATTTATTGCAACGTACTGAGAAGCTTTTGCGCGAATTGCGCAATGTCGACTTGCAAAAGTGCCGCGAAACTCACAAAATGGCCGTTATATATGTGGCCTCGGGGCAGGAGGATAAGAATAGTATTTTACGCAATGGCAGTGGTAGTACCATGTATGAAATGTTTGTCTCCGCTTTGGGTTGGGAGATTGATTTGGAGACTCACAACGGTTTCTTGGGCGGTTTGCCACGTCAAGGTTGTGGAGCTACGGCGCCTTATTATGCTACACCATTCCTGGAAGTTATTTATCATGTCGCCACACGTATGCCCTCCGATTCGCCAGAGGCAATCCTATTGAAAACGAGACATTTGGGCAATGATGAAGTTCACATTGTTTGGAGTGAACATTCACGAGACTATCGTCGTGATATACTGCCTACGGAGTTCTGCGATGTCCTAATTGTGGTTTATCCACTGAAGAATGGTCTGTTCCGGGTGACTGTGAATCGTAAACCAGAAGTACCATGGTTTGGTCCCTTGGCAAATGAGAGTGTTGTTAGCGGTGCATGTCTGGCAACACTCATAAGAGCAACTGCCATCAATGCAAGTCGGGCTAAACGTGCGGCGTTGCCGCTCTATCAGCAATAGTAAGTGTGCCTTCACATTATATTGTCTAGAAAATTATGTCTAATTTTTGTATTTTTCATTTTAGTTATGAAGAACGTAATCGTTCGCTGGACAGTGTATCATCCCGGTACAAAGAAAGTACTACATTTGAGGATTTTGCAAATCGTATTTACAATCCCATGCCTATAAATTCCTATGCAACTCTGAGGGATACTAGCAACAATTCTGCACCTTTAGCAGCGGCTCTAATTGATCATCAAAGATCGTCTGTCAAAGGTAAGATTGATTGTCAGGTTTAACGAATAGGAATTTGTTTGAGGAAATAAGTCCAGTCAAGTACTAAATAGTTATGGCTGAATTATACGTCACTACAAATATTTCCCTATATCTGCCCCAGGACTTGCGATCAGCAAGCAAGCTCTCTTTGATACATAAATCTAGTTCGAAAATTACTTCCGGTTTTTAAAAATATAAAAAGTGACGTGGATAAATGTTAAGGAATGCCACAAGATTGCCCTTTTGGAAAAAGTTTTTAAATGTGGCTAAGTAGTTCGATATCTTAGTACTTACGTTGGAAAATAATCGTGGGCAACCTTCCAAATATCCGGAATAACTCATTAAGCAATTGGTTTTGAGTTTATTCTGGTAAGGTATTCCTAGGCAATTGTATGTAGCTTAAAAGTCGAAAAATCGACAATGATTGCAGAGAGGATATTTTTTATTTTAGAATCAAATTGACTGGGTAGAACGAGACAGCTTCGAAATGATACTAAATGGTCAATGTGTTTTAATCAATGTCTCCTCAGTTGTTCGCGGAAGCAGAAATTCATCAATGGTTTTTAAGAAAGCGAATAGAATTTAAAGCTACAGTTTATCTTGGCATTGAATGTTTGGACAATAACCACCTTCTGAGTTGAAAATGAAGTAATGCAGCTATTGCTCCGGGCAGATGTTATGTTCCTCCGATTTATTCTTGTGCAAACTGAACAAATTCGTGCAGAAAGCGACTTGGGTGTTGTCGACTGCAGACAACAATTCGCAATGATGTTATGTGATCATTCTTGTTAGACAGAGTACCTTCTAAGGTGACACCATTTGTTTCAAAGATTGCATCTATCTGAGATGGAATTTTTGTCAATGTACATTTGGCACACTGAACAAAACCTAATACTGGGACTGGAATTTTGTTTGAAGAAGACATGGGTTAATAAATAAAGAAAAAGTCTACCGACATAATTTTCTTATCTGTTAACTAAGTCGAATATTAGAAAAAATTATATACGTTACGCCAACAAACTCTTAGCTCGTTTCAGTAGTCATATACAAAGACACATTATTGTTTGATGTCGCAGGCATCCTTTACATTGTCATCATTCAACTTCCAATACAAATTGATTCGACTGAAACTAATACTATTTTGAGCTGCCTCATAGGCTTTTTGATCTAAAAGATTTTTTATACCGTTTGCCTCAATAGGATAATTAGCATATTTCTTACGCTAACTTATCCAAGCATTAACTGTAGTGGTTTTTTTATCATATCAAGTCAAGAAATATCTATATCCGTATTTTATTCGGTATTTATATTATTCTATATAACAATTTTAGCATTTAAACATATTTTTGTTATTTTTCTTTCATAGGTTGGGTACAAGCTTCAATTGATGCTAATATGAAAGAAATACCATTGGGTATAATGCCATCGGCTTCAGCGTCATCAACCACCGCGATGGAGGCCATACATTCCTCCAATTCTCCACGAGGTGCTCGCAAACTTGGTTCCACATTCAAGGCCGCCCCTAAAAGGAACGCTCTTCACGGTTCGACCAGCAGTTATACCACGCCTCCAGATAGTCCAACATTGCCATTGCGCAAATTTAAATAATATTTAATTTTCTCTAGCCAAGAAAGGGATAGTTATTAAGGGTCAAAATCTGCAATAGAAGTATATCGAAACAAAGAACGAAATCAATCTCTAAAATAAACCCTAAACAGCGAAATAACCAACTATCGGATAAACGATATATACACTTTAGCTATAATGAAAAATGAGAACTACTTAAAATTAAAACAGAATTAAATTCATTCCTTCTTTTTATCAACTAAGAGTGAGCATAAGTTTTATTTTTATTAATATTATTATTATGATTATTGTCTTTGTTATTTAATCTGTGAAAAGAAAGCAAAATATCGAAAGATGCGCATTTGACAAAATGTTTTAATTTTTGTTTTGTTTTGCCGGTAACGAAGCGCATTTGTTCTGTAGGCATTTTAGTGGTTAATTTTTATGTATTAATTCTTTTTTTCAACACTTATGTTTATATTAGAAAACAAAGCATTTTTATTGTTTGTGTAAACATAGAAAAAAAAAAAAAACAACAATCAAGCATAAAGTATTTATTTATTCTATTTAAAAATCCATTTTTAATGTTTATACTATTCTATACTCCCTACTTTTTGTTATTTCTTTTGAATAACAACAAAAACATATTTTAGAATTTCTATATTTTATTTAACTAATGCTATTCGCTTGTTTAATTTTGTGTTGATTTCAAATTTGTTGATGTTACGTAAACACAGGTAAAACTAATCAATATGTTAGTTGATTGTCTGTTTTTGTGGCAGCACAAAGAACAAGTAGTGTGTTTTTGTTAATTATGGAGCTACACAGTTTTTATTTAAATTATCTGTCCGAAGTTCATATATTATTGTCGTAAATAATAAGTACATACAAATATTCAAACCAGTCAAACTTTATTTGAAAAGGGAAGTGCTTTTATTAATGTTGTGCTATATGTCAGCACGAAAAATAAATTTACCTTTGATGTTGTCAATGGACAGGATTCCCCATTTTGTATTCGTTTCAACAGATTTCGATGATATATCATTCAGTCTTGAATTTTTCATTTGCAATTAAAATATTAAGTTTGATTATTAAAAAAGAAACGTTTTGCTAAAGATTTTTCTAAAAGTCCTTTTGAGCAGATATTACTGTTTTCAACTTTTGATTTTTACAGCTCGAGTAAGCCTTAAAAACATTAACTACTTTTCTGAATTTGATTTGTGCTAATCAAATGTCCCAAATGATATACATGGTTACTGAGGTTATTCTGTTTATTGCGGCGATCGAACATAAAAAATAATTAACTCAGATGTGTTTAACTTCTTTGAGAGTAAGAGGGTGAATTTTCTATTGTGAATGCAAAATACACAATGATTTATTTCAATAAAATTGAAAATATGAAAGCTGCTCCAAAGAGGAATGTGAATATCGTTCGCCTTAGTCTAATAAGTCTGAGTCTTTACTGTTTTTGAATGAAAACTCATTTCATAATGTTTAAAACGAAATTACCTTTTTAAACTTTTTTATAGATTATGGTTTCGAATATTCTTGAGTTTGTCGGTCGAGTTGTGAATGTCGTCTCGGATAGTCATTCGAAAGTAATTTGTCATCAAAATAATTGTTCGTTAAATCCATAACTTTTCTTGGAAATATTTGGTAGTTCCAATCTGTTTTTTTTCAGCACTCATAAACCGACCCTTAAAACTTTTTCCATGTTCTATATAGTAGTTGTCTGTCTTTATGCTGCCAAAAATGTCATCATTTAAACAAGTTATTAAAAAAAATCTGGTTTTTATAACTTGCTGAATTTCATCAACGATTCAAGAAATCTTTTTGTTTTTAGCACAAATAATATGGTTTTAAGATACAATACACATGTACGTACGTATTATGTTTGATATTTTTAAATAAACGAATTTTTATTTCTCGTAAACAACTCCAATCAATCGTCCATATATTAGATAGAGATGTATTTAAATAAAATTATAATTTTTATTTTGATTATTTTTATGGAATACTTATATTTATTTTCAATTCTATTTATTTATGCTAATTTACGTTATTATTTATTTTACTTACTAATTTATTGTCATTAGAATTTCTTTATGTGTATATGAACATAATGAACAAATTAATTTATTTTTGTGTTTTTTTATCTGATTACTTCCCTCCTATTCATTCAAGAAAAAATTATTCGGTTCTTTTAGAATAGTCGCAAAAAATTAAATTGAAATCGCTGCAAGAAAAAAAAAAAAATAATGAAATCAGAAACCAAATGTCTATTTCTGTACGATTCCAAGTAAAACCGTTTTTGTTTATTTTTATTTAATGAGAACATCTACAATTTATATGTTCATTTCAATATTGCAATAAGGAATCCGAAACATTTGTGTTCTCCCTTTTAAGTTTGGCATAATTATCTTACATTAAAAATAAAAATATACAAAATATAAATAGTATTAAAACTTATATTGAAAACAAAACCTATCTTCTAAGTATTTGTAATTAAAAACGTATAAGGTTATTTTTCTAAATAAATAAACGAAATTATATAACAATAATCTACACTCAATAATTGATCAATATATGCTTGCAACAATCGCCAATAAATATTAAACCGCTTGAAAAATTCTTAACTAATATTGAAAACAAAATCAATTTTATTCCCAATACATTTTTATACTTAAAAAATTTTTGAAGCAATTTCCGCATATTTGTTACGTTACTAGTATTGGGTTTTAAAAATTAAGCGTTTGTTGCTAAACAATTAAAAAATAAAGCGAAATTTTAAAATAATCAACAATAAGCAAAAATGGTTAACAGCAAATTGAAAAATATTTTTTCTTAACAAACAAAAAAATTAAAAACAAACAAGTGTAAAATTTATTTTATTATGCAAAATATATGCACCACTCTTTTTTATTTAAATAATTAAATATTTAATATTGTAACTAACACCAATTACACAAATTAAACAAAACAAGAAATTAAACGTAAATACAACACATTTGTATATTACTAAAATAGTAACCTTATAAATATAATATATAAATTCCTTATCCACGTTTATAATTCAAAAAAATTGCATATTTCGTATGTATTTGTATGAAATTGCGAAATAAAAAAATCTACTTCAAACTATTATACCCCTTAATGGAGTTTTGTGTTTTTATTTTCATTACGTCAACAGGGATGACATCGGGAAATTTGTCTCTCTAAAAATGGGCCTACGTGTCTATTAGTGCTTAAGTTTCGTTTCAGAAAACTGAATGTAATGTAACTTCAATGTTAGACTTAGCTTCCAAGTCCTTGCTATGTACGGGGCTTTTTTCAAACTCCACCTCTGTACTTAAATAATAAGTATAACATATCGTATGTTAAAAGCGAACACAACAAGTCTACGAAATTGTAACGACAGGATTTCTCCCCAGGGATAGTACTGGCGCTGGGATAGCTCGCCGAGGTCCAGGAGTTCGTACAGAACTTTTTATTTGTTGAGACAGAAAGAGTAAAACATTAAATAAAAATGATCGTAATCGTCTTCGGTCCGGGATTGGAAGTGGTTCTTTAACTCAAGACCTGAATAAGTACTCGAGAAAAGGACAAGGACACAAGGTTTGGGTGCTTAGGTTTCGGGATGGATTCAGAGCGAAAGACCTGGATAAGTACTGAAGCAGGCTACAGGATATTCACGGATATGGTCGCAATATACCTTAACAGGTGCTCAAGCAAACTAGACGGATCTAGGATACGGCTGTAAGAGACCTCAATAAGTACTCAAGCAATACAAGGAACTAGGATACGGTTGCAAGAGATCTTAATAAGTACTCAATCACTACAAGGCTCTAGGATAGGTTGCAAGACACCTTAATAAGTACTCAACCACTACAGGATACTCAAGGAAATGCTTCAAGAGACCTTAATAAATACTCAAGCACTACGAGGATCTACGATACGGCTGCAAGAGACCTTAATAAGTACTCAATCAATACAAGGATCTAGGATACGGTTGCAAGAGACCTTAATAAGTACTCAAGCACTACAAAGATCTAGGATACGGCTGCAAGAGACCTTAATAAGTACTCAACCTCTACAGGATACTCAAGGATATGCTTCAAGAGACCTTAATAAATACTCAAGCGCTACAAGGATCTATGATACGGCTGCAAGAGACCTTAATAAGTACTCAAGCAATACAAGGATCTAGGATACGGTTGCAGTAGACCTTAATAAGTACTCAAGCACTACAAGGATCTAGAATACGGTTGCAAGAGACCTTAATAAGTATTCAAGCACTACAAGGATCTATGATACGGTTGGAAGAGACCTTAGTAAGTACTCAAGCACTACAAGCATCTAGGATACGGTTGGAAGAGATCTTAGTAAGTACTCAAGCACTACAAGCGTCTAGGATACGGTTGCAAGAGACCTTAATAAGTACTCTAGAACTACAAGGATCTAGGATACGGTTGCGAGAGACCTTAATAAGTACTCAAGCACTACAAGGATCTAGGATACAGTTGCAAGAGAACTTAATAAGTACTCAAGCGCTCAAGCGCTACCTTAATAAGTACTCAAGCACTACAAGGATCTAGGATAAGGTTGCAAGAGACCTTAAAAAGTACTCAAGCTCTACAGAATATTCAAGGAAACGGTTGCAAGAGACCTTAATAAGTGCTACAAAGATCTAGGATACGGTTGCAAGAGACCTTAATAAGTACTCAAGCACTACAAGGATCTAGGATACGGTTGCAAGAGACCTTAATAAGTACTCAAGCACTACAAAGATCTAGGATACGGCTGCAAGAGACCTTAATAAGTACTCAACCTCTACAGGATACTCAAGGATATGCTTCAAGAGACCTTAATAAATACTCAAGCGCTACAAGGATCTATGATACGGCTGCAAGAGACCTTAATAAGTACTCAAGCAATACAAGGATCTGGGATACGGTTGCAAGAGATCTTAATAAGTACTCAAGCACTACAAGGATGATAAAAGGACTCACAAAGGATGTCTAAGGACTCCCACAGGATCCTTCAACGACGTCGTCAGGATGGGTAGGGATATTTTTAGGATGCAACAGGTTGTCCGAGGCTTCGATGCAATGTTGTTACTTTCAAGGTCCACGTGTTCACGGTGGAGTAACGGGAACTTTTTTACCAAAAATTTGGCTACCACAACAACATGACATGAGCTCATCACTGTCTATGGTTGTGATGAGTGATGCTGTCTGTTGTTGTGATAACGGGTCACCTGAATTGAGTTAGAATAAAATGCACATCTTCTTCTTCATTTTGTACATTGGTGTAGGCAAAAATGACGAAGGATTTTTCGCCGTCAGAAAAGGAACTATCATAATCGGATTCCGCTGGAACTTCCCATATGTAAAATTAATATTACCATAAAATACCTGCGATTTTTTACGAGACCCCTTGATGGGAATGGGGATTTTCTAGGCAATTGTCAGAGGCTGTCCGAACGTCAATGTTGCATTCCATGACGAAGGATAGTGAAATGATCGCCACTGGACAATATAGACCTACGGGTCATATAAGTAGCTTTATTCATTCATGTTACGATACAAATTTTCATTATATCCTACGCTAAACTGGTGCACAGGTCTTTGTGCATGTCTTTGTAACACGTAAAAGAAAACAAGATATCTCCATTTGGATATAGTTAGGAATGTTTGTTTTCTCCTTCTGGAGTGAGAGGGGTGGGATTGGCAGGGTAATTAAGAGGTACAGCGTATATCACACGACGGGTAGACATTTCGCACGTCTTCATCAATTCATGCCCAATACGAATTAAGACGACAGCTTCATCCTTGACGTGAATTGTGCCAAAACTACCCTAGTTTTTCTCAAAATTATTTGGATGGTTCCCACCGAAAGCATATGGTTATGCTGACGTACGGGAAATGACATTTGCCTCTTTATGAAGATGACTTCTGACTCTGACAGGTCTGAATGCTGTTGTAGTACTATTGTAGTGTGGCTGACCGAAATCAAATTGATGATCAACGACAGCAATTCAATAACAAACTCTTAATACTTTGATCAAGAAGCTTGCATCAAAACCTAATACCATAAGACATATAAATATGTCCGTATAATAGTTCTGATGCTGGGAGATGATGCTGCTCAACAGCCTTTGCTAATGGAATGAAGGTTTTGGATCACTCGGAACGCCAACTCAACTTATTTTAGACCCCACAAAGCTGAACTTTATGTTTGATTTTGATCAGCATAAAAATCTACGTCAATTTATCCATGTCCATCGATACTTACTTCCTATGACATGTCCATATTAAAATAATGGGTCAGTTTGCTCCTTTGTATATAGGTACTGGTGTCATTGTCATTATTTGGTAATGGGAACTTCTGCTGGATAGCATTTTGTCCTAGGAAACAGACTATTGTAAAGGCAATTCCGTGAAAATCATACATACAATGATAAACATAACTTTGTACTGGGATGGGACGCTTGTAAGGTTGAATTTAACAGGTATTAAAGTGAAATCAAGAAGCTTAAATGCAAATATTGAATAAGCATTAGTAAGGCCGTAGAGGAAGTTAACGATGTTGCCAGATTTCGTAAGGACTATAATTCCAAAGTATGTACAAAACCTGGGACTCTAGCCTTGTCATATTCACTCTCCTGCTGGTCATTTGATGGCGTTACATGACGTTTCGAACAGAATGTGGTAAAAAAAACTCACCGGCAAGGTTCTTATGGTATCCTTCAATTCTTTAAGTATCATATTCTAAATGGGGTTACTGATTTCACGTCTTATCTGAAATAAATCAAAATTGTTTAAGGATGTTCGGAGATACGCTACCCTGGATATTATTTAGGACTAAAAATTGTTCTCCACAATTTGCATTACATTAAGAATACAAATTCTGAACTCTGGCCTTTCGCAATTTTCTTTTCTGATTCTTAATATGCAGTTGTGTGAAAAAAACATTTAGTTTTTTTGGGGGTAAAATTAACATACAATCATGCAATGCTTTTGCATGAGAACAAAAGACTTTTGTAATCAATAAAATTTTACACCGTAAAAAAACAATGCATAAAGTAACCTGACTACGACGGCAGTCAAAAGAAATGACGGTTCTATGATATCGGATTGACCCGAAACAACAACATCATTGCGATAAATGAATACATACATTGGCTGAACTTTTTGAATTGTTTCGGATAAACCTGATTGCGAGACTAAAGGGAATAGGGTTACGTTGCAGCGTTTGGCAACAGCGTAGTTCCCAGCAGATCCACTCATTGGCCTCCGCCAGAAGCATTGTCTGGTTTGTCGTTGGAGTTCGGAACTTCAGCGCAACCTCCAGAACATATTGCTGTTCCAACTCCTGGTTGTGCAGCATTTTTGCAATTCAATAGCACGGGACTTCGATTTAAGAGAGCGGATTGGATGCATCATAGGAATATTTGGAACGTAGCAGAGTAGGAAACCAAGCTCAATGAAATGAGGTTACCTTGGTTTAATTGCATGAATTAAATATTATGCAATTTTTTTAAATGTATTCAAATTTAGATGTAGACAAGTAAGCAAAGGCTAATATCAGGCGTACATTTGGGGTATTAAATATAATTTCTTTGTAGAATTTCTTTAGGTCTGAACCCCTTTTGATTAGAAATCCCTTTGCTTATTTTACTATATCTCCGATACTATATCTGACAATATACGTCAACGAGATGAGTCTCAAAGATCAGAAATTATATTTTTAACATTAACAACTAAGAAAGTACCTAAGATCGGTGGTGCCAAACTTTTAATAACTTTCAAATGCCGAAAATACAGAAAAAGGGAGGTACCGTTATATGTGTGGTATACGAAGACGTGTACCTGCATAGACAATTTTCTGTCATATGTTGAAGTATTCATTAAGATTCCAATACGAAATTCTAAACAATTCCGTTCTAATAAATAAATACCGAATGTTGAGAGGTACCGTTAATTGGGGACTACAGGGTGAGATAAAAACTGTAACAAAGTCAAACGCCAAAATTTTTACATTTTTTTTAAATTTTATTGAATGAAATAGTTTAGAATTTTAGAATAAGTTTAGATTTGTTCGAATTTGTCACCTTCGACACGAATTATGGCCTTCAAACGGTCAATGAAACCG